ATCCAATTGATATACCTATGTATTACTATATTTTCCTACTTGATATTATATAAATAAAAAAAAAAAAAAAAAAAAAAGTACTTGATACTATTTCATGAATGTTTCTAGCTAATATAATGACTTGCTTATAAGCATGATGAATAATTTTTTTAATATCATTATTTAAAGGCCAACTCTACAAGACATTTAGATTTTCTATAATACTCAAATCCAAATAATATAAAATATAATTTAAAAAATATTAATTTTTTTTTTTTTTAAAAAAAAAAAAAATTACTATATTTTTATATAATAAGTTATAAGAATACTAACCAATGCCTGTTATTTTTTTTCTTTTTGACTTAAGGAAGCTTAAAGAATATGTTTTATACAAGCATATAATCTTAGATGTTAATGCTACTAAATTATTAAATAAGAAGTCAGAAAGAAACTAATAGGCCAAGCCAAAAAAATGTTTACATCCTTTCGAACTATATATTTCATAAAGTAAAAGAAAATTGGGGATAAAAATCATAATAAGCAATTATTAAAAAAATCTAAATATAGAAAGTTGTATGATTATTAAATATATATACTGTAATAACAATTTAAATAAAGATTATATTTAAGTATTATAGATTCTAAAAGACTTGTCAAAATATTAAATATAACTGGTACTATAAAATTCTTTTTAATGCTTATAAATTTAGAATAATCTTGTATACAACTTTGAATATAACTTTTTAAATAATTTAAAAAGAAGAAATCTAATATAACTATTCTGCATTTTTTAAGTGATAAAATTTTGTAATTTTGAAAAGCATCAATTAATTCACCTATACAGTAATAAAAATTACTTGTTAATTAATTAATAATGATAATAAAACTAATCAGGTTTTTTAAAATTATTTTAACTAACTAAAAATAAATAAAAAAACAAATAATCTAGTATTGGCTTGATTTTTTTTATTAATAATTTGACTAAGAAGTGAGGAACAAAAAAGTTGATAAGTAGTATCATCATCTTAATGATCAACATTTTCTACATCTTTTTTATATAAAAATACATTCTAGATTCTTTCTTAATTCCAAAATTTGATCATATCATGCTAAATATTTTTCAAATAATAATAAGTAAGCTTCAGAAAAAAGTGTATTATGACAATTCTTTTTTCTATATAAAAGATTAGTATTACAAATAATAGAGCCTAATTAGAATAAATAGAACAACTAAAATTAATATCTAAAAATAAATTTAAAATAAGTTTAGTCAATTAATTGTATCAAATATTGTTGAAGGTAGTTTTTTTGTTTTATGATTTTATGATTTTATATTTGGAATAATAGGGGCAAGAAAAATGCGACAAATTGTTACTTAAAAATACCAAACGTTGCGAAATGTTGCACCATGGAAGAGGCAGAACGATTTGGCAAGGCTAAGGCGTGAGTGCAAAGTCTTAGTTTATTGCTAATGACAGTTTTTTATTATTAATATGATTGTTGACTATTCTAATTCTCTCTTTCCTCCTTCTAAAAAAAAGCACTTATATATAAGAATGGCATCTCACAAAAAGAGACAGCATAGGGGCCCAAGATCCAACATTTTCTCACCAAACTCAATGGTTTCAGATCTGTCATTACAATCAGGACCTTGAATAATCTTATGTAGTACAAACAACTAGTCCAATCTGGCAGATCTACCTTAACAAACAGCTATAGTACCCAATTCTGCATTATTATGGCATTGTTTCAGATAAGTGGCTTGGCTTTCAAGTTTCTTGAGGTACAATCGATGCACAATCATTTGCTTGTTTCAGGGGCATTCTTACTGTAAGAGGACATGGGTTGGGGTGGCACTGAGTTAGAGCAACTCTGGTACCTGTTTTGCTTTTAACAATATATAAAATATAAATTTGTCTATTATAAAGATTATCTTTAAAAACTAATATTTCTAATATTTCTATTTACATAAATAAATTCTATATATTAAACTTAGCTAAGACTTCATCAGTATCAAATCTAAGAATTTTAAGTTGAACAGCCATATTAAGCAATTTTTTATATAGCTCAAAAATACTTGTTGCAGTTTTCTTTTCTTGATTTGCAATCATTGCAATAACATATAGTAGGAATTTTAGAAGAAGAATCTATAATAAATAAATAAATATTAATAAGCTTATATATAATAATTAGGCTTGTTTTTTATTTAATAACTATTATATACTATATATGTACCTGTAATAAGTAAACATGAACTTAAGAAACAATAGCATTATAAAATTTGATTATATCTATAATTTGATATATATCCTCATATATAGAAACTCTAATTAATTTTGTTAAAAGTGTTGAATCAACAATACAATCAAAAAGGAAAAAAAATTCAAGCCTTTTCTTTGTCTAATATTGCAATAATTAGACCAGCATACTTAACCATATTTACAAGTTTTTTAACTTGTACTACATTTTTAAAACATAACTCAAGATCATAAAGAGCATAAGGTAAACATATATAATATAATCTTAAAAAAAATTTAAATAATTTTTAATAATAAAATAAAGATATTAAACAAAAATAAGTTATATATACCTAATATTTTGGATAGCACATTTAGCTAAGTTTTGTCAAAAAATACTATATGCTTATGAACTAAGACTTGCAAGTATAATCAAGACATTAAAAAATTGATCTGAATACTTAAGATTTTAAAGTTCTTTTTTATGTTGTTCTTGTTCTGCAATCTAAACCATTACATTATATAGACCTTCAAATATTTTTTGATTATTAAAATTATTATTTCTGTCTATCTTTGTAAACTTTGTTCAAAAAGAGTTGTTATTGTTTGTACTAATATTGTTTGCTAAATATAAAAGATCACTAACATTCTAATTATATATATATTTAGTAATCAGATTATTTTGAAATTGAATCTTTGGCATAAACTTTTTTTTAGAATTTGGCATATCTCATTTTGATACAGCATTCTATATATATAGTTATATATATTATAAATATAATTTTTATTAAAGCTTATTAATTATAGTATTAAAAATTATACTGTATATATTTTAAAAACTTGATTATCTTGAACTTCTTTACAATAATTACATAAATAAGAAGAATTTGTAGTATATTGCTTATATGAAACTGATCATACTACTAGACTTTTAATTTTTTACTTAAATTATTAAATATATATTACAGTCTTGTCTAAAGAAAATTTTTTTAAAAAAGTTCTTGGGCAACAACTTTTCTTTTTAGTGCTTTACCATGAATAGTATAAGTAAATACTCAATTAATATAAGCTTTGTAAATTAGGTTATCTAATCTAATACAAGTATATTATTTTATAGTAGGTTAATTATTTTTTAAAGTTGGTAAAAAATAATTCAAAATTGAAACAACACCATCTTGGAACTTGTAATTACCACTATTAATATGACTTAAAAAATAAACTTTATTATAAGCTTATTTAAGTTTAATAACTTTTTCACATTTACATATTATTTTCAAACTACAATTAAATATATGAACTATTATTTGATTTTTTAATAAGTGTTTTTTTGTATACTTAATCATTTTTGAAATTTTTAGAAATATATATATATTGTTATGGTGGTAATGTAAGGAAGGTATGACGATAAACAGTGTGTCGGGCTGTGTGAAACTTAGAATTAGTACAAGCCTTGTCTTTGTAAATAGAATTTTCTAAAATTGTATATACTTACCTTTTTTTAATTGAAGATCATAGCCAAATTTGTATAATCGTATCCAGGTCCTGTAATAGTTTCTAAATAATGAAACTGTGGATCATTGAAACTAAGTAGCAATAGTATAAGCAAGCGAAACTACTAGTTTCAAGGATCCAACATTTGATTATCGTATCTTTTATTACTTTGTAAAGTATAAAAGCAGGGTCTTCAGGCTTTTAATAAAGTTAGTAGTCTTCGATGTCTTAAATTGGTAGAATAGAAGAATCGAATTCTCCAGTGTTTGAATAGTTTTACTGTTATAAGTTTTATTTACCTAATAAGAAAAATCAATTAATAACCGTTATATTGAAAATTTCGTCAAATTCCTTATTACTTCAGAGTATCATAATCATTATATATAAATTATTAATTAATAGCCCTTTTATTAATTGCATCAGTTATGTTACTCAATTGATCTAATTAATTAACTTTATTACATAAAAGTGACCACCACTTAAATTGATTAGTAACCCGATCCCACTTAAATTAGTTAACCGATCCCTATTAAATTACCAATCTACGTGAACAAACCACCCTACCGACAGCACTATATTATCCTATTCAAGATATCTTTCTAATTTCATTCACTATTGGAGTTAAATTAGATGAAATATTGCTATAGGTCTCCCAAACAATAGTAACATTTGGTGCCAGTTGTGTGAAATGAATTAATAAACATTTTTTTTTTTTAGATAGTACTGTAAATGGCTCAAGGTCCAATGCAGGCATTAGCAATACAGATCGCTGTCTTAGTACAGCAATTACAAGGCACACCACACATACAAGTAAATGTTCCTGAAACCAACCGAGAATTAAGTACCATCTCCTATCAAGATTTCTATGGAGGTGATCAAGACCCAATTATATGGCTTGAAGACATAAAGAAAGCATTTGATGCAAACATAGTCTCTGATAATCGAAAGATTTCAGTAATAGTTCCAAAATTGAGGAGACCAGCAGCGAATTGGTGGGTTATGCGAAGGATACAACATTCTGTTATTGATCGATGACATGATCCCAATGTCTCAGCTTCAAGTTTTACATCTAATTTTATCGCTAAATTTCGAACACCCGAATTGGAAGCCAAATGGTTCACTCAATTGACTCAATGAAAACAATTATCTGGGAAAACCATTGATGATTACTATACATCTATTGAAGAGATGACTAGAAGAGTCGAATCAGGAGGACACCAATATTCTAATACTGCGAAGGCCCAAATGTTTATCAATGGATTGTGTCCTAAACTCTATATGACAGTGTCTCCATTAACCCCTAATATGTTAGAAGATGCTTATGCTAGAGCAAAAGCCTTTGAAAATATATATAGGAATAATCTGACACATACAGCTTTTATGACCCAACCTATAGGATATCCAATATATTTAGCACAGAGAATAGTTGGTACTCCAGTTGCCCCTCAAATGAACTATAATAAAATGGAAGAGGCTTTACTTAAGCTAACAGAGGCCATCAATAAAATGATAACTCAGCATCAAGATCAAAGAAGACCCCAGTGACCATAACAGGGCAGTCCTAACATGAATTCAGGGATAATTTGTTTTACTTGCTGACAACCTGGACATATTAGTCAGCAGTGTCCTAATTCCCAGAATAATAATAATAATAATCCCAATCCACCTGTTCAACAACCATCTATAAATAATACAAACAACACGAACGCCCAAGAGACCTTACAGGCTTTGTTCACATTGTTGAATAATCCAACCCCCAACAGTCCCCAAAATAACCAGCCTACATATTTAGGGATTCATGAGAAAGATGAGCCTCTATTTCTTCCAGCAGAATAACATAAACAGAAAAGGCCCATCACGAATACCATGTTATTGCGGAAAAAAAAAAATATCAAAGGAAGAGAGGATACTATAGGGTTAGGCGAAACTGAAGAGATTCCACCTCAAGATGCCGATATGGATAATAGAAATGAGATTGAGGACTTGGATGATAATGTTCAAGAAATAATTTCTGAGTTTATTAAGAAGAAAAAGAAAGAGAATAAGGATGACAAAGTTCCCAAGGTTTGACAGAAGAAGAATGTTGAACTAAGATGGAAAGTTATTGAAGAAGAGTTGCCCCAAATTTCCTCTTTGGTCCCTCCATATTCAATTGTCGCTGATATTAGGGATAAACCAGCTAATATCACTTATAGACAATTATTAAGGGCATCTCAAAATATGTGCTAGGAATTAGCTCGTTCCTTACAGAAGAAGAGAACCATCACAAGAAAGAAGTTCTAGGGTAATATTAATTTACAGCCCACTCTGAAATCGACAGCCTTGTATTGCGACACCAGAATCCGTGATAAGGATATTCCACTAATAGTGAATAGTGAATCCTTAGAAAGCGTTGTCGCTTCACATCTGTTACAAGAATTGGGCATAAGGATTGAGCGCCCATCAGTAGTGAATATGATTAATATTCATGAAGAAAGTAAACGTGTGATAGGGGAAATTTCTAACTTCCCTTTTTCTGTGAGTAGAATAGAAATCCCTATCAACATTATCATCACTGACGCCACCTTTTACTGTGCCATTGTTAGTAATGATTGGCTTGCTAAAGTTAATGCTGCCATCAACTGGAACTCATCTGATATGACTATCTATTGGGATGATAAGGAGATTACGGTGCCAGTTAAGTTTCGGAAGATGACAAGAGCCTCATTAGAAAAAGAAAGGATGGTGGTAGTTAAAGAAATAATAGATGAAAATAAGAAAGATGATCAAAAAGAAGTAGATGACGAATATGAAGAAGAAGAATTAGAGAAATCAATTTATGCGTTATCTGAATTCGACGAATGAGACGATAATACTGAATACGATGATGATAGGTTAGGGAAAGACTGTCATGAAAAGAAACAAATAGGTAATCAATGAATGGATCAACCTGGGATTACATGTTATGAGGCTCAAAAAGAAGAAGATCAATGTATAGCAGATCTTTTTGATTACTGCTATGAAAATGAAACCTAGCAGAGGTCGAATACCAGATAAAAGAATTGGAAGCGGATCAAGGCAATGATTGACCCAACTCCTTATAGAAAATGTCGACCTCTGCATCTAGAATCTAGGAGAACTAGGATGTACAAGTCGAACTTATTATGAGATTCTTACTCATGGCTGTAGGCCAATTAAACAATGTCCTTATAGGTATTTACCAGCTGAAAAGCAATTTCTTAAGAAAGAAATTGCTTCTATATTAAAAGAAGGCATCATTCGACCTTCTAGTAGTCCTTGGTCGTCACCAGTGATACTCATTAAGCAGAAGGCTCAGAAAATGCGCTTTTGTGTAGACTACAGGAAGTTGAACACTGTTACGATTAAGGATAACTACCCTTTACCTAGGGTAGATGAACTTTTGGACACCTTGAATGAATCATCATGGTTCATTTCGCTAGATTTAGCCAGTGGATACTGGCAAGTGAAGGTATTAGAAGGAGATTGGGACAAGACAGCTTTCATTACTCCATATGGGACGTTCGAATTCAATGTTATGCTGTTCGGTCTTGCAAACGCCCCTGCAACTTTCCAATGGTTGATGGATAATATTTTCTGTGACATCATTGGAAAATTTGTAGTCATCTATCTAGATGACCTGAATATTTATTCGGCAATGTTTGAAGAACACTTGAGTCATTTAGAAGAAGTGTTTTATCATTTAAGGGAGGCTGGGTTAAAACTTAAACCCCAAAAATGTTATTTCATGAAGAAACAACTCAAATTTTTAGGGTATGTTGTAAGTTCAGAAGGAATTTCTACTGATCAGGATAAAATCTAGGCCATTCAAGAATTTTTTGTTCCCAAGAATCTATAACAATTAAGGAGATTTTTAGGATTAGCCTCTTATTACAGGCATTTCATCCCTAAATTCATGAATATTGCTGCTCCCCTTAATGCCTTATTAAAGAAGAATGCCTGATACCAATGGACCCTTGAATGTCAGGGCGCTTTTGGGAAATTAAAAAGAAAACTTATAAGTGCCCCAATATTAGCTTATCCCGACTTCAATCAACTGTTTATTCTCTTTATGGATGCATCTGACTTGGCTTTAGGAGCTATATTATCACAAGCGGATGAAGAGGCAAAAGAACAGGTAATTGCATATGTGAGCCACTCTTTGACAGCAGCAGAAAAAAATTATGCTGTCACTGAAAAGAAGTGCCTTGCAGTAGTTTGGGTGGTCTCTTATTTTTATATCTATTTGCATAGGACTCATTTTATCCTATACACGGACTATTCAGCATTGAAATCATTATTTTCGTATTGACTACCCCAAAATCGACTGGCCAGGTAGATCCTGATCTTGCAGGAATATTCGTTTACCACCATCCACAAATCTGGAAAATTTTATTTAAACACCGATAGTCTATCCTGAATTTAGTATAGAACTCTATTAATTAAAAAACCCTATCCAAATATATCTGGATGCCTCTTTCAGAAATCCCTTATTAACACAATGGACTTTTATGGAAATAGAAACATATACAAATTTTGTTAATTACCTTAGCCGGTCTAAGGTTCCACTAAATAGCACTAAAAAGGTAATGAAGCATTTAACCTGTCATTACCTTATTAGAAATGGATTACTATATAAGAATAATCCACATGACCCATGATGGCCTCTAAGAGTACTAAGACCCTATGAAACAAAGGCTGTATTGCATATAATGCATTCGAACCCTTTAGCAGGACATTTTGAAAAAACTGCTATTTATCAAAGGGTCATGGTTTGTTACTTTTGGCCTCAGATGGGTAACGATATAAAATGATATGTAGAGTCATGTGACTCTTGCCAATGTAGAGGGTAACCAAAACCTGAGAGCCCCTTCACCCAATTAGAATCGGTCAACCTTTTGATCGAATGGGGATAGATATTGTTGGTCCCCTTCCTGTGACCCCAAGTGGCAAGAAATATATTATCATAGCTACTGAATATCTTACTAAGCAGCCTGAAGCATGTGCATTGGAATGGACGAATGCTGAATCTGTGGTGATGTTCATTTTTGAAGATATCATTTGTCACCATGATAGCCCCCGTGAATTGTTGTCAGACCAGGAAACTCATTTTTGTAATAAATTAGTGAGTTCCCTATGTGAAAGAATGTAAACCCACCACAGAACGTCGACGGCTTACCACCCACAGACTAATGAGTTGGTCGAACACTTTAACAGAACTCTCTGTGAAGTTCTAGCTAGATGTGTAGTGCAGTATGAAGGAGAATAAGATGAATTTATTCCTGTAGCTTTGTTTGCTTACAGGACGACATGCCACAACACAACCTAATATGAGCCTTTCTATCTTATGTATGGACAGGACACACTACTTCTAGTTGAAACTGTAGTTTCAACATATCCTGCTGAACCCATTATGGAAATAGATTTTCAGAAGCAAATATTTAGGAGAATCGAGGTGCTACTTGGAAACTTGGCCCTAGCTAGACAACAGACATGAATCAATACTAAAAATTCTTAGCAGAAACAGAAAGACTACCATGATCAGAGGTATAGGACGGAAACTTACCAGATTGGAGACAAGGTTTTGTTGCACGAAACATCCTTGGAATCGTCGCACAGTGCTAAGCTTGAAAAACAATTCTTGGGTCCTTATTACATTCATGACATATTTGGTAATGGAACGTATAAATTAAGGACTATCTGTGACAGTATTAACAAACCAGAATTGATTGAAAAGGTCCTTAAAAAAACTGTGCATGATAACCAGTTAAAACAATATATCACACTCTCTGTGAAAGAAGATGTTCGAAATTATAAATACAATCAATTTTGACCTCAAAAAGGTCAAAATTCATCTTTGTTATGAAGTTTTTTCTGATCACTTTAAAGTTTTTGAAAACAGTGTACCAACTTCGAAAGAATATTAAAGATACTATGATGGTTGAAGTTCATATTACCCAAGAGAACATTTCATGCTATAATAAAGAAGAAGAAGCAGTGTTCCTCGATTTTACTGAAGAAATAACTATCAGGCCTCTTGAGAATGCCAAGATGTCTTTTTATCTCAACGATCTGTGGTGAATGAATACACCTACCCAATTGTTAATTGAAGTTGCAAACGAAACATGAAATGAACAGGTTCTATATTTAAGGAATCATATTCGTAATAAAAAGCTTGATCCATTGACCCTACTTCAATGTTATTATTTTATCGAGGAAAGGTTGGCCAAGAAATCCTAAGAAACTGAAGCTAGAGGAAAGATGCGTGTTATCTTTACTGAAAGTGGATACCATTACACGTAGAAGGCGACTACGTGTACATATCGGTTGTTCCATACTAGAAGGGTACATAATTTATTAATCTCTAGTTATATTTCCGCTTGTGCCCTATCTAAGTTGTCAGATGAAAATTTTGAAGCCTTAGTGGAAGAGGCTCGCATGGTGAGAGAAAGAGAGCTAGAAATGTTACTAGAAGGCCTAACACCCTTTGCAGGAGCTCAGGTCTAAGAAGGGGAGTATGTTACAGTAGTAACGTGAGAAAGGTGTGACGATAAACAGTACATTGGGCTGTGTGAAACTTAGAATTAGTACAAGCCTTGTCTTTGTAAATAGAATTTTCTAAAATTGTATATACTTACACTTTTTTAATCAAAGATCATAACCGAATTTGTATAATCATACCTAGGTCCTGTAATAGTTTCTAAATAACAAAACTGTGGATCATTAAAACTAAGTAGTGATAGTATAAGCGAGTGAAACTACTAGTTTCAAGGATCCAACATTCGATTATCATATCTCCTATTACTTTGTAAAGTATAAAAGCAGGGTCTTCAGGCCTTTAATAAAGTCAGTAGTCTTCGATGTCTTAAATTAGTAGAATAGAAGAATCGAATTCTCCAGTGTTTGAATAGTTTTACTGTTATAAGTTTTATTTACCTAATAAGAAAAATCAATTAATAACCGTTATATTGAAAATTTCGTCAAATTCCTTATTACTTCAGAGTATCATAATCATTATACATAAATTATTAATTAATAGTCTCTTTATTAATTGCATCAGTTACATTACTCAATTGATTCAATTAATTAACTTTATTACATAAAAGTGACCACTACTTAAATGATCAGTAACTCGATCCTGCTTAAATTAGTTAACTGATCCCTATTAAATTACTGATCTATGTAAACAAGCCACCCTACTGACAGCACTATATTACCCTATTCAAGATATCTTTCTAATTTCATTTACTATTGGAGTTAAATTGGACGAAATATTGCTACAGCTCTTCTAAACAATAGTAACAATATAGATACTATCTAATTAGTATCTAATTTAACTATTTTTTAAATATAACCTTATACAAATTTAATAATTTTATCTATATTTATTAATACAACTTTAACAAACATTATCCAGTTTTAAATATAACTTTTAAACAAATAATCACTTTTAAATATAATATTTTTGTAAAAAAAAGTACTATTTTTAACCAAAATTTTAATGTAATCTTTATATATATTATTCAGAGTCTTATAGTACTCCAAATTAGATCTTTTTGAATAATCAAACTAACTTTAATATGTATAATATTTTAAAGTACTAAACCTTTATATTAAGGCTTAAATAAAGATTAAACTATGCATTTTTTATACTAAGTTTATACAATAAATCTTTTTTATTAGAGTGCAGAAAGTAGTTTAATAGTTAAAATTTTTAGTTACTGTCTGTTTTTTAAAAAATATGATTTTATGTTACACCTTTATGAGTACTAAGTATAAGACTATGAAAGATTATTATATATGCACTATTCAGATCTTTTCAAATAATTAAAACAACTTTAATATGCATAATATTTTAAAGTACTAAAACCTCATATTAGGGATTACAATATGTATATTTTATACCAAAATTCCACATATAATTTTTTTTATTAGAGTGCAAAAAGTAGTTTCATAATTAAAATTTTTATTTATCATCTGTTTTTTTTAAAAAAACATAATTTTCATATTATACTTGA